GGATCGTTCTGTGTAGCCTGCAATGAGGCGAATTTTACCCTGGGACACGCGGCGAATAGACAGGCCTTCAGTCCTGTAATTCCGAACCGAACACATGCCTATTAACCGTTAGAATTAAAAGACGCATACAGCATCAGAATGAGCACGACTTGTACAAGAAATTAAATACCGCGTTTTATAGCCCATAAAAAGTTGACAGACTCTGTCGTTACATCTAAATCTAAAGGAAAACCAGCTATCCAATTACAAGGAACCTGAGAAAGGTTCAAAAAAGGCTTCGTTGGAGCCATATTTATAAAACAAATAAAAGCGAGGGTCGTAATCAAATTAAAAGAAACATGGATTCGGAAAATGTTCTACCAGACTTCACGGTGCAGTCATCTTCAATGCAAAAGGTTCCAGACTCAGGTACAGTAAGATTAAATTTTATAATTCATTGAATAAATTATGTTGAATCCACTTCACACATTTACATCCCATATCTTTTAAGATCCATTTTAATATTATCGTGCCACTTACGCCTTGCCCTCTCTCAGAAGTTTTAGACTAAAATTCCCATTTGTGTTACATGTTCCACCGACTTTATTCACCAGATTTGACCAGCTTAATTTTATTTGGCGAGCCCTTTAATAGAGAATTGAACATAATTAAATTATTTTTATTATTCATTCATGTTCAGAAGATTTGTTTATCTGCACGCTGCATGTATATGTCTGTCTGGTGCTCAATATGACACAAAGACACAGACAGACAGACGGACAGAGGCTACTGGCCCATTGCGGTTATTTTAAAGAATGTAAAAGTGCGAAGTTAGTGCCTTTCGATGCAGGGCCTTAGAAATGTTATATGCGGGTATATTTTAGAATACAGAGAAGCTGCCGCCCGATATATCTCAGTAACTCGGTAGGCGTGTAGTGGGCCTTCGTCCAATTGTGTTAATGACGTAGTATTGGGACGCGAGCGATGTGCCCCTCGTGGTTACAAGCGGGTCCACGAGCTCTTGTCACCTTGGACAGAGACAAAAGACAAAATTCGTTGCTTTTCTTTTCGTGAGTCATCACTAGAGCGAACATCGCCCAAAGCTCATTTAAATCATCAATTAGGGGGGAACGGTGAGCTGTGGGTGGAGGATTCGACACGGAAAGCAACTGAGCCCTTCGGAAGGATGTACGACGTTTAAGGGTCGGTTTGTGGAGCAGCTCAGGACACTGCCGCCGAATGATTCAGCATTTTTGTATCGCATCATTGTTTTCTGGGCTCACTGCTTTGCTTGTTTGCCAACAAATGAGCAGACAGGAACTTTGTTGCCATCTCCGAGCGTGAGGGTTGATGGCAGGGTCTGTACTGAAGGTGTGAGTTGACGGATGGCTAAACATTTTGACTCCCGTTGGACCGTTCGTCCCGGACTTACCCGGAACCTGAGAGCTCGCCACAGGACCACTCTGAGCCGTTCCGGGGTCGTCTCGTCCGCCTTCCTAGCGAACGTCTTTTCGGCAGATTTACATATCAAAATCGTGTAACCGCTCCTTGTCTCGGCCGTCCTAACCGCATGCTCAGCCCAGGTTTCAGCAGGTGAGCTGAGCGAGTCACGAAGTTACTCAGCCTAATATGGAAGTCGTTTTATAGAAATGAAACTGTGTTTGCTGGTAGCAGATCGAAATGCTACTTTTCTTCCCCTCTGAATGTCGGCCATACTTTCTCCGGTCGTCGTGCTTTCGCGTTCTTGGAGGAATGCACAGAACTGATTTGTGGCCCACGTAATTTGGTTACAGCCAAAATACGAGAGAGATGCTGCAGGGATGAGTCACTGAGAAAGTTAAATGATGCAGTACGAATATAAAAATACAGATCGCGGGGTCAGATCCCCGCTGCTGTGGCGAGGAGACGTTGGTTCTGAGTCACTCCCTCCTTCCTAGGCCCTAGAACGTTCTGGGATTGACGTCGAAAACAAATTATGAAAGTTTTGTGTTATTCTAAATAAAGGTTGATTGAACCCGCGGTTTCTGGAGCCAAGAGCCTGTGCTGTCCCTGTGGTCCGTGAGCAGAGGAAGGAGGTGACGTATCTTCTCGAAACGTGAATTCGGCTTCGACGTGTGTCTGTAAAAAAGAACACAGACGAATTAGGCTCATAAAGACGAAAGCGTCGTACATTCATTTTCCAGGAGATGAAAATTTAACGAAGCTGTTGATGCTTCTGCGCTGTTGATCCGTTTTGTCGGCGGTGTGAGTTCAGAGTTCCTTTTTATCAGCAAGTGAAGAGAAAGGCGAGCGCGGGTAACAAAAGATGGCGTTTGAAAACTCCGTGTACTCGCAATCGGCAAGCTTATTCCCGCTGTTCTGTTGAAGGCGTTTAAGAAGCAGAATTCGTCGTCGTCTGTGGTCCCTCGGTTGTGACGCGGGGCAGCTACAGGCTGAAATACGGGGTTCGGTTCCCGGCAGGAACGGCCATATCAGACACACTGACGTCCGGTTGAGACTTGCCCAGAACAAAAACTAAAATGAAGAGGTCAGTAATGAAACGTGGCTTCTGACTGCCGGTCGCCCATGTGCGTTGAATTCCCGGCATGCCTGGGATATTTTTAGCCCTGGGCGAGTGTTTGTGGTGGAAGGGGGGGGGTCGAGATCGACTCTTTCTGTGGCACTGGGCGCTTGAAGCACGAGTGTGTCTGCGTTTCGTATGCCTGAAGAAAAGAACGTGGTGGTAAGATTCTGACATTGTCATGAATTCCACGTGTTTTACTTTTGTCATATCATAGCGCGAACACTTTGCTTTGGATTCATGAACCGGGGGGTCAATTTTACCATGAACGCGGACTGAGGTCGTTTGAGAAAAGCGTGGATCTGAAATCAGGCGAAACAGGGAGCTTCACCATCGAGGAGGATGAGGTGAGGTGGGCGGTGTTTGTACCACGCATGGAAACAATGACAAATTTACTCTTTAAATCAGAAGGAAAAAGCTTCTTTGGAGACAAAGGCATAGATGGGAGGATAATACCAGAGTGGATGTGGATAGGATGGACAGGCCACCAGTGGCGAGCTGTTGTGACCGGTGTATCCTTCACTTTCAGTGTAGCCTGTAGACTGCCTGTGGCCCACAACAGGCCTGTTCACCTGTTCGGCCAGCCCCTTCTTCAGAACTTTCCTGATATTCGATATTTTAGAACTGATAGCCTCATCCATTATCTGTTTTCAGACAAATAGCCTCACACTATCACAATTAATTCATAGTAAAACGTTTTAAGGATTTAATTCTCTCCGCGGTGATAAGGAGACGAGATACCACCCACTCTTACTAAGAAAGCCACTTAAGTCGTGTTTTGTTTCTTTCCTCATTTCACTGAAAGTACAGTTTGGGGGATGAACCGGGGGAAAGGGGCGGTAATTTCATCATCCCTTGATATTACAGTGGTCCTTAACTCATTGGTGTGACAAACAACGCTTCCAGAGTTGCACCGCTGAACTTGATTGTAAACTGAAAGGCCTTGAGCTAGTCAGGATACGTCCACCGTGCTCGCTGGTTAGAAGAAGGGAGGATAATATTAAAAAGGCTCCTTGAAGAGCTGGGATGAGGATGTGGACTGCATTCACGTCCTGTGACAGGTAGCCCAGTGCACGTTGTGTTTAGATTTGACAGTCCTTGCTCCGTGTCGTGCAAGAAGCCTTTACGACGGACCTGTAAGGGCTTGGAGGACAGTGTTGGTGGTGGAGGTGGGGGGGGGGGACAGGTTTCCCTCCCTTGTCCACTTAGAACTTCGAAGAAAAGGAAATTGCTCCTATACAGTTGAATGAATGACCTTAAAATGAAAGAATCCCGTGGAGGTGTTTGTATAGAATTTTATGCTCTTTTTAAGGACTCGAGCGAGAGACGTCCAAACGTATTCTACCTGACTCGACCCGTGCCGTAGATTTCTTTCCCACATTTTAGGTGCCTTCACACATTACACTCCTCCCCAAGCGACCGGAGTGAAAAGGTGTACGCGGTGTTTACAGGTGCCTTCTTCACGATTTTTTGTTTGTTTATCGTGGGATCTCAGAAAGTAAACTAAGCTAGGGCGAACGGGGTTCGGTTCCCGGTAGATGCAAAGACTTTTCATGTCGGCACCACACAACCTCCTATTAACTAGTACTGGAGGCTTTCCCCCTTGGGGTTAAGCGGCCGGAGCGTGAAGAGCATTTACCTCCATTGGTGCTGAGGGAAAACTTGTGTAGGCCTAGAGTTTGCCTGCACTGTGCAACATGCCTTCATGGAGGCGTGCATGTGAGATAATATTAAAGATGATCCTAATGAGTATGACAGTATTAATTCATCTCGCTCAAGATAGGGTACAGTGGCGGGTTCTTGTGACGAAGTTTATGGCCCTTCGGGTTCCATAAAACGCGGAGAATTTCTTTGCCGACTACTATTAACGCCCCAAGAAGGACTGTTTGACAGAGTCAGTCATTCACAGGACAGTGGTATTATAACTACCATGTACCAACTACTTTAACAGTCGGCAGCTCGGAATTTTGCTACACAGTGTATTTACAAGTTTCGTAGGATTAGTCCCGGGTATTCGGGAGATCGCCGATTAGCACGTGAACCTGAGAGGCAGCTTCCCTGGGCCTCATGGTTTCTTGTATTCGTCCGTACACACACATGGGCCGTGTGGGCTGAAGGCAGTTTACAGACGTTTCAGAGGTCCTTGCTGTCTCCATCATCAGGCCAGACTACACGGCGCTACAACCCAGAAGACAGCCATCTCCCCTCTCACGCACTGCCGTGAGAACCTCGTATCTTACTTAGGCCGGACACTTTGAAATAGGCCGCGACCTCTTCCTTTACTGCGCCTAATTCATAACCACTGTGTAATGTCTCATGCCGTGATACCGTACAGTATAAGCAAATGATGAGCTTATTAATTATCAATTCACAGGTTGGCATTTGACGTATACATTACAAATTAATCCATTTGGACTTCAAGGTTCACTTTGTCGCTAATATGTCGATTCTTCATCTCCAGGATGTCCCTGCCTCGACTCTCCGTGCTCGCCCCTTGAACAGAGACGATTTCTGTACTTCGTCTCGCACGGTAAGTTGCTTTCCACTTACAGATACTCTTGTTCAGGTGGAACTCGCAAAGCCATCTTTCTTGTTCCACAGATTTGTAGTGTTATAGATCCTTGTTTTAATAACCCCTTTTAAAACCCAGTGGTAACTATATGTACCACCTGCTTTAAAAACCACTAATTTGCCCCCACAGTGTATTTGTTTCGTATGATTCTCACTGTAAACAGCGATTATTTCCTTAAACAGCGTTAACTAATCGATCTTTGTAATGGTGAAGTGTAGTGTTTTCTTCGCGGTACGGACTGAACATTGATATATTACTTATTCCACCTTCGGTCTCAAATGGTTAATGCTAGTTTCTTTCTTCTGTGTTTGAGATATGTAATTGCAAAGTGAAATGAAGTTGAGTTGGAGCGATGGTCGTTCTGTCGTGTCCGCAGTGTTTCGCACCGTCGCCATGTTTGTATTTGCCAACTTAACAAACAGTAGTGCATGCATAAGCTGTACGCGTATTTATACAAATCCTCACATATCTTACTTCCACTGGTTGTGCACTGGTCGTTGTCTAACTCCCAGCGAAGCAGAGTTTTTCATGGACTTACGTTTTAGTGACAAACGTTCATACAACGTTTCGTAAATAGTGGTCAGGCAGTTCAGAAGTTGAGAGGTGGTTCGTACATCCGTGACGACGTTCAGATACTTTTAGCACGAACAAATAAATTTCAGTGGTACAGTTTATTTCAAGAAAATCCCATGTGCAGAAGGGCCTTAAACTGATTTTGGAATAACAGTTCTGCCCTTCTGGCCCTCATGGTACAGCCGCCCTTTATCTTTACGAGGTCACATGCCCCATGCTCTATTTGATGATGTTCTTCTGGGTTTTGACGCCGTGTCGACTGGCAGCGTTTCGGAGAAACATGCTGTTTCCATCTTCAAGGCTCAAAACCCAGAAGAACATCATTATCCTCGCCGCCGTGCTCTGTTTGCTCACCCCTGCTCCAGACTGCCAGCAGATTCAGTTACTTACCTCGTCCTTTCATCAGAGTTGCTCCGAGACCTGTCCTTTGTGACTCACGGCTTCTGTATTTCTAAATATGGATTAAAGTTCCATGACGAAAATAGTAATTGGCTGTGGCCTTCGTTGCAATGTTTCCTCCCATCACCACGAGAACGTCGTTAGAGTGGGACTCGTGGCCGGGTTTCGAACTCAGAACGTCATATGCGTTACCGGATCTCCGTCCAAACCCACTCGGGTTCTTCTGCCTTCGCCTCTCCAAAGACAGCTTTGTGGAAGTGAGGTGTCCGGTCCCCTTTGCCGATCGTGCCCTGTTACCTGGGGCGGTTGCTGGCTTGCACCGAAGAAACAAGTTCGACAGCGGCCAGAGAAGGTTTGGAACCCAGGGCCTCTCAAAGACGAGGCTGTGGCGCCCGCCTCTTGTAGCATTGAAGTAGCCATCAGCAGCTCAAGAGAGCAGTCGCTGCGCGGACAGTTTAACGTGCCCGCGGGCCGAGTCGTGAGGTGTAATCCGCTCGAAGCACGTTTGTATGTGTGTATGTATGTCAGGGTTCTTTGCGCTCGTTTGTGATGGACCGAGATCCCACGTAATCTTGTCGGATGACTGACAATGACGTCAAGAGTAGCATGCACCCGGGAGGTTAAGACCTTGTGCTGTACTGTTGGGAGGTCCTGGGCCCGGAAACTGCAGTGCTCAGCGTTTTCCGCTGTATTCTCCAGACGCTCCAGACAGCTGCTCACTCATTCCATTTTATCGTCGTCATTGTCCTGCCACTTGAAATTTAATCCATGCAGTTGGCAGAGCATCGTTAAATGTACCAAGAAGCTCTATTGATGTTGGTGGCCATCGCTTTGAGCTTCGTTGAGACTGGTTATGAGGGGAGCAGCGTAGTTCAGTGTTCGGTAGGCAGTTTTTCAATTTGCTGCGTTCCCCGGTTTTAAACCCCAAGTACGAGTAGTCAGTCGCTGGCGATTTGGGAAGGAAACAGTCAGATTGGAACTTGCGAGCAGAGGAAGTGTAGAATGGGGCAGAGAAATTAATAACTTGAAACTGAAGAGAGAGAGAGGGGGAGGGGGGGAGGACGGATGTAAAAGCCGAGGAGCAAGGCCGTTGTAGAGCCGTGATTGGCTTATTGCACTGGTCACGTGGAAAATGTTTTCTTGTTATTTATTATTTTTTCTGTAGTGGAGAGCGTAAGGTGTACTTGGTGCTGGTCTGGCGAGCGAGTGCAGTGGTTTCAGGTGCTGGTTCGCGTATCGTGTGTCGTCCGAGTTGCTGCTGGCACGTGGTGGCTTTCAGCGCGGTCACAAGTGAAATAAATGCCGTTCGGGCGCGCGCGTGTGTGTGTTCGCGTGTGTCGCGTGCTGGCTAGAATTTCGCTGAAGATTTACGTGATTGTGTTACAAGTTATATGACGCGTTCTGCACAGAAGATTCCATCGAGTGTTCTGTTATGAGTACGTTTCGTACCCGTGCGAAAACAGTCTTCTCCGTATCAGTGCTGTTTAATCTAGCGCACGAAGTTTTACCAGATTTTTCGCGTGTCAGATTGTATTTTAACGTCACGTGGGAGATACCCGATGTCGCTAGTGACATCGGCAGGCGTTTCCGTCACCTCTATAGAGGTTCGAACACACGACTTCTTCCATCATTTCTACGAAGAGATACCGCCTACACGTCACAGCCATTATTTCTTTTTTAAGTCGTAAGGGCGCTTCGTTTTCCCCAGGATCTGTGTCCTGTACTTGCATTCGTCATCGCTCGCCCCCGTATAAACGACTATAGAAGCAGTAAGAATCGAAGCGGGGAGTCGCGTTCTTTTGTTTTCGCTGTCCCCTGCCCTTCACCTACGCAGCGCGAGGGAGTCCCCAAACTGAGCAGTGATCACGCACCTCCAGACAATCGCAGAATCAGCGGAAGATCGAAGTAAGGACTTTGGCACCGCTGAGGAAGGGACGCAGTCAGTGGAGCAGCGCGTATCGACCAGCGTCAACCGTGTGTGGCGGTGAGGTGGCCCGGCGACGCGATCCATGTCTCGGGCGTAGCAACACATGTACATCAGCAGGTAAAGGAACTCGATTTGTGTTGCACCGAGAAGCACCCGGTCGCAAGACGATCGTGTATCATCAGCAGTTTTCGGTGCTTTTATTTTTGAATTGGCTGTGAAATTACACTCGTTTTTGAGTCGTGAATATTTGTGTGTACGGGGTAGACGACGTTCATAGTCGCGTATAAGGACTCGTTTTGAAGGGGATTTTAAGTCACTTAACAAAACGATATTTTATTACGCAGATACGCTCTTGGCACAAATAATAATAATACAAAATTTGTCAGTCTATTACAGAAACAGTTTTATAATAGCTTAAATTTAAAATGTATGCTTGCTAGTTACATCATGAACATACAGATCTGTTGCAGTTGTGTGGGCCCGCGTATTAGTTTAAAAGTCATTTTCTGTGTGGAAATCTTGAGTCTTGACTGGTTATTTCACGAACGATATTTGTCGGCGAGTAAAGGATTAATTGGTTAGTGCGACTGAATCGTCTTTCGTCTCCCGTGCTCGAAGTTTTGGCGTTAAAAACGAAGTGCAGTGGCGGGACTTTGCTGATGAGGCGTTGGTCCAGTGTAGTTTTGTATCTGTACCTCCTTTCTGTGATGCTGTGCGTTCTGTTGGAATTACAGGGTTCTTGAAAGGTCTGTGTCCAGCTGTGTGGTACCTCAGATGTTCGCTTTATGTGTTCCTACATTATTTAATGATGATGTGTCAAGTGTAGAGATTATTTGGTGTCGCATGAAATCGCAAAATGGGGGGAGTAGGGGGTAGCGACCGGTTATCTTGGATTTTCTTCAGGAAGAACTGAGGAATAGCTGATGGTCCAGATGTTATTCAAACGGAGTGGTTCCGACCAATTGATGGTAGTCGCGGGAGGACGATTGATAGATTGCGTGTGTGTGGGCGCGGGGGGTGGGGGGGCTCAGAGCTTTTATTGCACTGAAACCAGCAAATGCAGAATTATAAAATCAGGGCGAAGGGGGTGACTGGGAGGATAATATTAAAATTGCCCCTGGAGAGGATGGGACGTGAAAATGTGAGTGAGTTGGATTCATCTGGCTCAGAACAGAGACCAGTGGCGTGCTTTTGTGAACACGATAATGAACCTTCTGGTTTTATGGAAGGCCGAAAGATTGTCAGCTTTTCGCGGAGCATTCTGTTCCATGGCGCGTTGACGTTACATCTGCCATTTTTTTTAATATTACGTGCAGAAGTAAGCATCATTGTCGAATCAGAAGCAAACGTTACCCCTTTTAGCAGAGGTATCGCGTCATTTCGAGGTGCCACAGTTCAAAAAGCCACTCTGACCCCTCCCCAGAGAATTCGCCTAATTCTCTGCCCCTACATCAACAAATGAATCTGTCAACAGGAAGTTTTGTGATGTCGGATCTGGCCACGTGACAAGCTTCGTTCGCCCGGCCAGTACCATCCAGTGATGTTCTTAAATTTAAGGGCGTTTTCTGACTAGTCCATGCCCCCCGCCCCGCTCGCCACTGATGTGAGTGCGTGAGATTAATCTTCGACTTCATGCGGGCAAGAACAGAGAAGCTGTGACGTACTGTGGCACTTTGGGCCGCTTGTTCGGGAGTAGGAACTAGTGCCTGCCTGCCTTGCCGACTGAGAAATTATTATGCACTCGCTTCGAACATCCAGAAGTTCGGAGGATAATATTAAAAGGGATAACACGGAAATAGCAAAAAAAAAAAAGAAAAGGCTGCCTACACACAGATAAGTAACCGTCGAATTGCTTTTGAGAAATCGAACAAACCATTTTACACAGAGCCAGCTTACTCCGAAGTCTCTGCTCCCATAAGACGGGAATTCGAACCCGCGACCCCCAGTATGAGAATCTTGAACACAGACATGTGTACGTCACAACTCGTGTTCCGTGTAAACACCGAACAGGATTAAAGTGGCACTCAATCTGGTGTGTCCGTTCGCCAGCGCAAATCTGGCTCGCACTGGGAACGCGCAGGTCCGCTCCCAAGGCCGACCACAATTCCAGCGCATTTAAACGTCCGGTCGGCGCTAAACGACGCATTTATTAAGCGGTTTTCGCGTCGCCGCGTCCACGAGCGAAATAAAATACATTTTTCCGCATTCTCAAGCACAAAACTGCTGCAGTGGCCGTGTTTATTTTTATGTTGATATCCTAAAACAGGACATCTTTAATCATCGGCCGAGGGGAAGAAAGACATTCAGGTGATGATGTATTTATTTAGGGCGGACAGGAGAACTGAAATGAGCCCTTGCGTCTATTGTCTTGGCGTTATTTACGGACGCTGTTGTAATTGCAGGAAGATGTAGAGTCGGTAAGTTCTCAGGCTGACGGAAACCACGACAGAAACTCAGTCATCAATGTGACTGTCTCGTGGGCTGTTTCGCCGTGTGGCGGGGTAGAATTTTACCGACGTTTCGGAGGTTCTTCCTGTTTGCATCACCAGGACGATCGCCCTGCTCTGCCCAACAACCCAGAAGAAAGCCTACTCACCGCCCTGACAACCTTGGTTCTCGCATCCAGTCACAATTACTCTTGCTTTGTTTAATGACGCTTCGTCAGCTGTGTTGTGCTAAATGTCAAGCTTATGATCGACGTGGAAGTAAATGCCATGGCCTGTTTGGGTGTTACGATGTCTCGTTGCAGGTTTAGTCCGCATAACTGTACTTTAGTTACATACGAGTGAAACCATTAAACTGGTTTCCTTAGCAACATAAATTGCTTCTGTAAAATACCGTTCGTCGCATATCTGCACGCTTTTCGTTAATTTGTTGAGCAAGTGTTTCGCTGAGTACAGGAATTGCGGTAGGCTTTCGGCAGTATTTTTATCCGGCTGTCTTCAGTACCAGAACTCTGCTGCGTGTAAGAGTGGAGCAATGTGGTTTCAGTTCGTAGCGATCTTGGAGTAAGGCCTGGCGTGTCGTCTTCTGACAGAAAACGATTTGGAGTGTCAGTCAGGCGCCTGTCGCCCTTCGGCGTCGCAGAGTGACACTCGCCTAAGAATTTCTTTTGAGATCCGTTTTAATAATATCGTCCCATCCGCATGTCCGGCCGTGATGATATTTTGAGAAGCAGAAGAAGAATTTTCCACGGGCCACGCAGGGAACAGCGGCCAGTATTTGGTCTTGCACGCGCACGGTTCCTTGTGCCCTTTTAGCACACGACACGCACGGTTCAGTACACGACATGAGAAGTGATAAGAGACAAGTGATGCTCGGTGAAAGGCTCGAGTCATTTCTTTGGGGTAGCACACATCATCACTTAAACAACGTCTCTTCTTTTTGTTGGAACGATGTTTCGTGGTCCAAACAGCGGAATCCATGGCTCGCTGCTTATCTCGCTTGTTGTGGAATGTGGCTCTTGGTCCCTACAACGCCCAGGTCGACTATTACTCCTGGTTATTGACGGCTTCGCCCGTGATCGACAGTTGCGTTCTGAAGATGGGAATCTTGCCGAGGCCGTAACGAGCCGTAGCGGGCTGGTCGTAATAAGCTGTAAAGGAACAAATGTCACTGGGCCGCGTGTCTGTCAACCCGGACTTTAAGCGGGCTGAGGTCGAGTGGCCTACGAAGGCGCTGAAGGTTTCATTTTCCAAATTGGCCTCGTTCATTTTCCCGGTGGTTTTCCTCAGATACTCTAGGCGCATGGGAAGGCCTGACAAAGCCGCTGATTCGTCTTTATAAGAAATAAATTAGGGCGAAACTTTGCAGATAATAAAATGACGAAACAATTCTTCCTGGTTTATCTGACAGCGTACTTTTGAAGGGTGGTCGTCGCTCTATCTCGAAGTCTAATCTAATTTCTTCGTTTTCCCCATTCTCTGTCCGTCTTAACCTTCCTGATTTAATTGGAATAGTCTTTGAAGCCTAGAAATTATGAAGCTTCTCATCACATGATTTTCTTCATTTGCCTGTCGCATCTCAAATCATTTAATGTTCGTTCTGTGTCTCTCCAGTCAGACTGCCTGACTCCTCGACATTGCTCACAGTGAGAGATGAATTATTCATCTAAAAGAACAGTTAAAAAAATGAGACTGCTTGTACGTTTCGAGTATAACTGGTGGACGGGCTGTCTAAGTATTGCAATAACCAAATAAAGAAAATAAAAAAAGTCTGTGAAAGTTATAGATGCAAATGAGACGAACATCGTAAATCATCTGTGGGCTCCGCATTTATTAATTTCTGCCAATTTCGCGTTTGTGAGGTAAACCAAAATTGCGTCTCCTTCTTCTCTCTCTCTCTGTTTCTTTTTTTTGGGGGGGGGGGCTCGAACCAAAACCCTGCCACCCCGCAGACCGTCTCTTCATGTGCCCTTTCGGAAGCCATTATGCATTCTACACGCAAAGAGTTTGTAGCCGTAAGATGTACGACTCTGTGCAAACAGTTCCGTGTAATTACTAACAGAGGACAGCACTGAAGTGATTAATGAGTTGCATTTCGCTTAAAGTAAGCAACTGAGAACGCCCCGCCTCAATTGCTGCTCAACCGACTGACCGATTTCCATGAAATTTGGTGTGAGTAATGCCATTTGGTGCAAACGTGGCTGCGGCGACAGCAACGGAAGATGGAGGTGACGCGTTCCTGCGAAACTTTTGTGCCTGCACCTCGGACGAGAGAAAATTTCTTTTCGATATCTCAAGACGTTACAGTGGCGAGTCTTGATGACCAAATTTGGTCACTATAAATCTGATTAAAGTGTTTTAAGTGTCTGAACCACGGCGTAGTAAGGAAGATGGCAGGAAGAGTTAACAATAAAAGTTTAAAAGTTCAAAGGTCAAATGTTACGAGTACTCAGCGACTTGAACGTTAATTCATGGCCTTCCTTGCTGTCAGATAAATTTTACAAAAGCCTCTTTAATCTTCTGGAATAAATCTGGTGTGCTAATAGCAACTCCACTTACCCCAAAGTGGTCAGGTGCAAGAGGCTGCGATGTGTCCGTTTGTTTGTTAGTAAGAACAAGGAAGACTCTCGCTTGTTTTCGTCCCGTGATGTTGGCTGGCCCCA